AAAAAATGTTGAATATAACTTTATAATTTTTTTATAGTGAAAATAAAGATAGGTATGATAAAAAGGATTCTTGGAATCATAGCCAAAACGCCAAATCTTTCCAAGATAATAAATCAAATGCTTGGAAAAATGAATGGTCTCCAGAAAAACATGATAATAGACGCGAGAAGACTAGTGGTTACTTTCATCGTGACGGTTTGCAAAACGATCGATTCAATAAAGACAAAGCAAATAATAGATTTAACAGAGATAAATCGTATAATAAATACGATGAAAATGATGTAAATACATATAACAGAAATAGTAGAGGAACTCGAGATGGTGGAAGTAAATTTACAGGCAATGAACGACGATATAATCGTAACAATGCTAATGATACAGTATGTAGCGACAAGGATTCTGATACTTCATCTAAAGGTAATGATAGACGAGGGAAATTTGGTTTTAAACGTAATAGTTTTAACAATGAACGAGGGGGAAACTACGATGGTGGAGCTTCAAGTAAATCGCACGCTACAAATTGGGATGGCAAGAAACCAGCATGGAGGACTAATAGAAATGAGAGATTTAATGGTATTTATAAATATATTATTTCATATGTGTAAAAGATACATATGATTTTATAATTTTGCATTTTGTTAAATACAGGTGACTATAACATGAATAACAATAAGTTTAGAAATAAAATAGATAATACAAACAATTTTTCACATGATCAGGTGAGAAAAAAATTAATTATAAAATTAATATTATAGATTATAGATTATATATTTACATTTATATATTTACATTTAAATGACTTTAATGTTGTATATCATATACATATACGATATCATATACATATACATATATATACATTATTTACAGATAATCGCTGAATCATGGGATACAAATGATGTTAATAAAGAGCAAAACAGTGTTGACAAGAAATCCCAACTTTCATTGAAAAATATTGACATTGCTCTTACATCTGTAAAGAATTGCGAAGTGGTATTCATAAATAATCCATCGGACTTTTTCATTCAATTAACTCCTGATTGCTTGGAATTAAATCCTATTATGGAAAGCATTGCTACAACTTATGAAATGGGTGGAGAAACGATGCAAACTTCCGAGATACAAAGCGGCACGTATTGTATTGCTCAATACTCGGAAGATCTCAAGTGGTATAGAGCGGTAATCAAGTCTGTAGAAGAGAACAGCGCGACTGTAGAATTCGTCGATTATGGAAATACAGAATCAGTTGATTTTACAAATATTAAAGTGATTCTAGAGGAATTTCTAAAACTGCCAATGCAAGCAGTACATTGTAAACTGCTTGGGTTGGCAAATATAGATAACCAGGAAAACCAACTTGAAATCTTTTCGGAAAAGGCCGAAGGAAAATCCTTACAAGTGGAATTTGTTGCCGAAGAAAACGGGATATATGAAGTATTGCTGTGTGAAGTTGTTGATAGTGTACCAAACACTAATTATATAAATGAAGAGTTCTGCGCAATTGCAGATTTGATAAATGCTAAACAAACGGCGGCGAGTAAAAAAGCGCCCGAGACATTTGTGACAGAGACGAAAATTGTAGATTACGCTCCTCTTGATTCAAAATGGCAAACTATTTCATGTGAATCTGAATCTAAACAAAATGTAATTATTACATGGTTTATAAATCCGAATAAATTTTTTTGTCAACTACTGTCTAAAGAAGCTGAATTTTCTGCAATGATGAGCGAAATTCAAAAAATATATGCCAATAGAGAATCTGTATCACAAGAATTACAGGTATTTTTACTATTTTTATCATTTTCTATTTTATTAAAGTTTATTGTTTTTATTCTAATAATGAATTCATTGTGAAAAGCACTTTAATTAAATAAAGAAAGGCGTGACTTTACATTACATTTTTTTTGTTTTTTTTTGTTTTTTTTTAGATCGGTTCAACAATTATAGCTAAGTTCTCTGAAGATGGAGCTCTTTATCGAGCAGAAGTTGTAAGCAATTATGCAAAGGATGCATACGTAGTTCAGTACATAGATTTCGGAAACTGTGCAATTGTGTATCGAGATAATATCTATCCTGTCGAAAAAAAATTCATGCAATTGCCCAAATTGGCAGTACAATGTTCCTTAAAAGATATTGTACCTAATAATAATAATTTGAGTTGGTCCGAGGTGGACAATAACGCACTCGATAATTGCTTCAATGCTGATAAATACGAATGCATATTTCATAGTTTGAATGACAATCAATATATAATTTCATTAAACTGTAATGGACAAGATGTTAATAATATGTTGATAGAGCGAAATCTTGCAACTATCGCTACAAAAACTTCAGTTGAGACAATCGATGGTAAGAATTATTTTGAAATCTATTTGTTCTGACATTGTTACATTTATGATTAAATTATGTATCATAAGTATTAAATGTTATAAAAATAAGAACGGAGGGTGTACATCACGGCGGGCCTGATCACGAACCAGTCGTGAAAATTCGTAATTATTTTTGCGAAAAATGTCATCTCAGCCAGGAATCAAACCTGAATCTCTTACTTATCGGGCAGGCATCTTATCTTTTTGACTACAGAGGCAAATGATGATATTTATCGCAATAACGTGTTTAAAACGACATGTTAAAGAATCCAATATCATACACATATATATGTATATTCTCGAATCTTCACGACCGGTACTCCAAAGCGATGTTGGCCTCTCACTCGACTGGATGCAGGTCGGACTGCAGCGGTGACACTCTCCAACATCACTGACAAATATACAAATATATAAATAATCCTCCTGATGCGCGGCAGGAGAGATTTGCACAAAGTATGAGTCGAGTCTCCGAAATTATAACATACACACTATAACAGTATTTTTGTAATATTTTTATTGTTTATTTAGAAACATCTAATACAGAAGTACAAGCATTCAATAATATAGAAAGAGTGGACATAAGCCTTTTGAGTGGTCAAACTCTTAAAATGAGAATTTCTGATGTAAAAAGCACTAGTCAGTTTTATGTTCAATTACCATCAGCCTCAAGATGTGAAAATATTGTCGACCAATACATGACTGATAAAAATCCAAAGGTATTATTTAGCATACGCTCATTTCAATTAATTGCAAATCATAGTACTATGTATATCGCTCGTATAAATTTTACAGAAAACTAGAAAATTGTAACTGCTCATTTTCTAACAAATATAAACTAACAGCTTGTATTAATAACAAGCTATCTTATAAAATTTGTCATATAACAGTTATATCATATAAATCCATGTATTTATAACAAATTTCTTTAATTTCTTGAATGATTGAACAAATTCTAAGAGTCAAAAAATGAACAAATTTAGAATTATTTATAACTCCGTTTCTTTAATTTCGAACTTCTATTTTTTTCAATCTAACATACTTGTTAATGCAAAAGAATAATTTTATATATTAAATAAATATTTGATTAATATATGAATATTTAACATAATTCCGGTTAATTATATAATAAAATTTATATTATACTTAATATTCATGAATCAAATCCTTCCGAAATTTTAATAATATTTAACTTTAATCCCAAGTATATAAAATGAAACATCTTAAACATCATTGCATGATGTATGGTATTAACAGCTAAATAATAAAAAACAATTGTAACACGAGCCTTATGAATGTTTTATCATATAATGTTCATCTATCCTAAATAGCTTAACATCAAAATAACTTACCTTTTTATTTATAAATATATATGATAAACGGTTGCATGAACTTAAACGGATTATATTGATGAGGAGAAGTTTACGATAATGTCAGGTGATGCCGCGATTATCAACCCGCGAGTTATGTCTTGGTGCGGGTTGTTTAGTCAGCATACATGGCGTATGGAAGCGAGCTGTAGTGATTAACTGTACACGATCCATCGGGTTTGACATAAAACTCATTGATACTGGCACATATGATGAAATCCTGAATGACGTGAGTTTATATAGCCAGATATTTACAAAAACTTGTATAGATTTTCTCAATTCCATAATACGAGTTAATACCATACATTATGTTGATATGAGAGATTGATTTATTAAAACTGGTTTATATATTAAAAATGTGTAATTTTGATACTTATTAATTTTTACTTATTAATTTTTATCTTTAATATAATAATCCAGGCTTTAGCTTTACCTGGAGAGCTCGCAGTTATGCAGAACCAAGCGTTAGAATGTTCTCTGCAAAATACATCATCTATTGACGCAGATAAACGATTGAAAGAGTTTGAAGGAAAAGAAATATTAGTCTATGTGGAAGAAGTCAATAATAGCAGGTTTGTAAATTTTATTTTGTAATTATATATACAAGTAATACAAATAAGTTAATTATATATACAAGTAAGTTTCTGATTGATATTAACATTCTATTGTATTTTTGTTATATATCATATATTATATTGTATTTTTTGTTATATAGACTTATCGTAAAACTATACGATTTAGTTGGCAATGGAATAATGAACATCGAGGAGAAGATATTACCTATATGTCCAATGCCTATTCTAAGTTCGACTCACGAAGTAATTCCGACATATGCCGATCATTCTACCAATATTTGGTTGCGACGTAATTCAGATGCGGAGCTCGAAACTAAATTGTTGGAGGATCTTCAACAATATTACACTAATTCTGGACAGAAACTTAAACCCGAAGAGCATTTATTATGCGCGGCCAAGTCTACATATGACGGTCAATGGTATAGAGCGAAAATTATTAGCTATACCGAAACGACGGTTTATGTGAGTTACATTGATTATGGCAACGATGAGGATATTCCCCTAGAATCTATCATGATTTTAGAACCACAGTTTTATGAACCTTATCAGTTAGCTGTAAAGGTATCATTATCCGTATCATTCATTGGCACTGAAGCTGAACAGATAAACATATTACAAACTTATTTGAAGATTAAAACTTTCACGGCTGTATTTTACAATGTACGCAAGAAGTGGATTGTCGATCTAATCGAAAATGGAGAAAAACTCAGCGATAAATTGCGGTCGTTGAATCTAGTGAAAACTGAACAAACCGAATCCGAGCCATTACCTCAAATAGGCGAAACATCAATTCCTGACAGATTTGACGTGTGCGTATCTCATGTGGATTCTCCAAGTCAGTTTTGGTTGCAGTATACGGACAAGATTGCGTCTCTGAATGAAAAACAAGAGCAATTACAACTAGAAGTTCCTAATTTCTCGATGATAGACGGTATACCAGAAGAAGGCACTTTGTGCATTGCCAGTTACTCGATTGATAATCTATGGTACCGCGCAGAAGTATTGGATGCGGATGAGGACATAACGACTATCCGATTTATAGACTATGGCAATACCGATGTCATTGATAACAAAACGAGTAGCATTCGACAGATACCGGATACTTGGAAGAATCTAGAAACCTTCGCCTTGAAATGTAGACTCGATATTATTCCTGTAGATACGGAGGATTGGAGCGAATCGACGTGCGAAAGATTCAGGAACTTAGTAATGTCAGCAGAAACCCTTCAGGCTCTGATTGTAGCGGATACCATGCCTAAACGTGTAGAGTTGTTTATAGACAACAAAAGTGTCAGCGAAACATTAGTCGAAGAAAAACATGCCATCATAATTAACACCGAGCAAGAGCCTGTTGACGAAATAGTTGATCTTGAACTGGATCCGCATTCCGCTTTTGTCTGTCATGTTAACTCGCCAAGCGAGTTTTGGGTCCAAGAAGAGAAATCTGTTGCTGATTTGGAGGTAATGGCAGACAGATTTATGGTTGCCGATATGTTCCCCAAAATCGATGATATAAAAGAAGGTTTGCTATGCGTTGCCAAATATCCTGAGGATGAACAATGGTATAGAGCGCGTGTTGTTTCTCATGATGAGAATGGCACACAAGTCATATACATCGACTATGGAAATTCCGCAGTATCCACTGAGATTCGTACCATTCCGAAAGATCTGGCAAGTATACCACCTTTGTCGCGAAAATGCTGCTTGGAATTACCGTCGCAAATCAAAGAATGGTCTGAACAAGCACGTGAGGAATTCGTCAAACTGGCTGCAGACGGTGCGACAATTTTCCTCCTAGATGTTTTGAAAGAACAAGAGACATCGTTGGTTAAACTAACATTAGACGGCCAAAATGTAGCCGATATTCTTGGAGATATGTGCGAACAACAAGCACCAGTTATTGATGAAAGATTGCCACCACTCGGTGAAGAGAATTCACCGAACGTGATGATCAGCCACATCAATAGTCCAAGCGAGTTCTGGATTCAAGCTGAGAGTAGTATAAGTGAATTAGAAGTGATGTCGGATCGTCTACGAGATGCAGAGAGTTTTCTCACATTGAACAACCTTGATATAGGTACGATCTGCGCTGCTCGATATCCTGAAGATGGTTTTTGGTATAGATCAAAGATAGTTGCATATTGTGAAAAAGGTACGGAAGTTTTATATATGGATTACGGCAATTCTGCGGTTACAGAAGAATTAAGAATGTTGCCGGAAGATATTGTGAATATTCCTACTTTGTCGAAACGATGCGTGCTGGAAAAACCGAATAATATCATTGCATGGAGCGAGGAAGCTTGTGACAAGTTCAGAGAACTCGCCGCCGATGGAGCTACGATGTTCCAGTTTGAAACTCTCGATGAAAACGACCCGATGCATGTACGATTGAGTCTGAACGGTACGAACGTTATTGATCTTTTATCAACTGACTACAAAAATATTCCAGAAGTTGATGAAGTAACCAAAACCGAAGAAATGAAGACCGCTACTTTAATTAACGAACAGGAACCAATATTTAATCAAACAGATAATTTGGAATATGTTAATAAAATGGAGAAGCTTGACATTAATGAGGCGTTAAAGGAATCGGTTAAAAATTCTGATATGAATGAGAAATGCGAACATAGTGAAAAACAACAAAGCGCAACAAGTAACGATTCTGAATTTGTAGCAACTGAATATATATCAAAAATAATAGACAATATCAATATGACTGAAATAGATCAAGATCCGAATATTATTACAGACCAAATCGTTTCCTTAAGCGCAAGTACTTCTGTTACATCATCCCCTAAAGCTTTTTCATCTACTGTAAAAGAACTTAGCGTTGACGAAATAATTGAGAATATGATACGAAACGCCACTGATGATTTAGAATCGCAAAAAGTCGGTAATGAAAATATATTAAATGTAAAAATGCAACAGAATGTCACTCAAATGAAAATCGTCGATAGAAATGAGCAGCAGAAATTACTTTCACAAATACAGTCTATAGATATAAATAAATCTTTAGATACACAGATTTTAGAAACGATAAATACAAGAAGAGACATTGAGGATTTAGAATCGAAACAAATTGTAACTGTAACGAATGAATCGCAGGATGTCACGCAACTTGATACTAGTCAAGTTAAAGAAGAGGAAAAAGACATGCACGTTGAGATGGAATCTGATATAAACAAGTCTTCAAAATCTGAAATTTTAAAAACGCGTTTGCCAGAAGAGCAGATAAAGCTCAAGCAGATTAAAAAGCAACGTCCAACGAAGAATGGGACTATGCCTAAAAGTACGGACAATAATGGTATAGAAACTCAATCTGATAATACAGACTTGAGTAATGATTCTTCCTCGGGATTAACTTGTATTGTAAAAACGACAGAATCGTCATCGCTCAAGACTGATTCAGTTGAACGATGTAGTTACTCAGAAAAGCAGGACAAAGAATACGTCTCTGAAGACAAGCCATCTGAATCGGAAATGAAACGTCCTGTGACACCAAAGACGTCACATTCAGAGAAAATCGTGGCAGCTGTCGTAAATCCGTATGTACAGTCAGTCCTCGATAATACAAGCGAGAATGACGAGATACTTAATATCTCTATAGAGGACAACATTCCTAAATATATGGTATAGTTTTATAACTCAATGGATATCACGTGTTGTAAATTTATATATAGAATATTATGTATATATATATAAATTTACAGCGTAAAAGAATGCGAACTTATATAATTATACTTTTTCCAAAGGATTATTTTTATTTCTCGTTTTCCTTTTACGTTTACATAAAAATATATTTTTGGGAAAAAAAGAGTGTATAAACTTACTCATATATACGCAACGCATACAGTGACTTTAATTTTTCTCTTTTTTTTTTCTTTTTTTTTTTACAAACGACACATACGCCGCATTTTTTATAAATATATTACATGTTGCTGCAATACACGTCACGCCAAATGTACAACCAAAGATTAAATCACTTAATTAATAACTGGTTTATTTATATAAACATTTAACATTAATATTCACTTGCAAAGATTGAATAGTAATTGCTTTCTAATATACTTTCTTAATGTTGGTTAACTTTTAAATTATGATCTTATAACTTTGATTTTTCTTTTTACTCTTTCAACTTAAAATAATAACATTTTTTAAATAATTATTGCAATTACAAATCATTCATACAATAGATTATTTTTTTTTGGTAAACAAACTAAAATTTTAATTGTTTGACATGTGTAATTATTACATAACACAATTAAATTTTCGAAACGATTTTTAATTAATTCATAAAAGAAAATAGCGAACTAATTATCTTTTCCTTTATTCTTAACAAAAGTACGAGTCTAACATTAAATATATATACAAATTACTTTTGCAATTATGTAAAAGATAGTGCTTAAACGTGATTGTATGCAACTTGAAGATTATTTAAACTTGAAGATTAGTTAAAAAAAGATGTAAAATAATTATATGAAAGAACAAGAAAAGCTGTTTTTTGTGCCGTTAAAATGTTGTATACATTTTTCATATATATTGAATCTATATATATTGGATCAAATGTGAAATGGGGATTTCTTTTGAATCCTATTCCATATTCTATACTTTCCTCGTTTCTTCCTATAATTCTTTATAATATTAACATATATAACATTATATAACATTATACAATTATAGTACTTGACAAGCAAGACTGTAAAAATATATATTGAAGTTATATATTCATATATATATATATAAATCATAAATCAAATATGTGAATTAAGAATTCATTTCAATCTTATGCCATGATATATTATGTAATATGTAATTTTCTCATTTCTTCCTACAATTCTTCACAATATTAACATATATAACATTATACAATTATAATACTTGATATAAAACTGTATAAATATGTGTATTCTGTTAAAATGTATTTTTCTAATAAACATTTCAAAATATTCCGTGTTTAATAATTATTTATAGTTATTGCATAATTTATTACAAAGTTATAAATAAAATTCATTATTCACAATTTATTTTAATTCTTGTAAAATACTTTGTTACAGCGCATATACACGGTATATTTCTTACTGAGGACTGCATCATTTCCTCTGTAACTGTTGATCGTCGGGTGTGACTTTCAAAATGATCTTCAAATTCCTTTTTTTAATATGTCTTCTGCATTCTATAGTGTCATTAATTTACAAAAATGTTAATCATTCTCAATTTTATAAGACGTCTACACATACATGCGCGCGCGTATGTGTGGATGTCTATAATATATATGTATTACATATATATAATAAAAAAAAATAGTATTTTCTTTATAGTTAAAAAAGCTTCAGTATACAAATAAATTATACAAAACAAGATTATAAAAATGATTCATATTTTGAATCCTTTTTTTATCGATAAAAGTGCTTCTAAAAGTGATTTGTAAGCCTTCTGTGACTTCTGTGAACTAATTTTAAGAACACTTTTAAATCACTTTTATCGATAAAAGAATTCAAAATACGAGCCAGAGCTCTTTCATAAAATGCATGAAAAAAGTCAAGAAACAGTTCGCTTTGCATTCTAAAGGTGTGAAGTATCACCCTTCCGTTTGGCAATCATTAAATTCCTTTTTACAATCGCGTTGTAATTGTCTCGTTTCTCCTTCGCGAGGAATTCGCGCGCGAGCGCAATTTCGTCCTCGAGGTACCATCGCAGGGGTCCCCGACATCGCTTGCAGTGTCCCAGGTAAGCTCTGCCCTTGATCTCGAGCATTCTGCGTTGAATGGGACGCGGCGACGGACTGATGTCCTGAACGCGAAATTTCACCCCGGGTCCGCCACCGTCCAGAATCACGTCCGTCAAGGACGATGCAAATGGCGGGTTCCGCATGTCGTAGCGTTTTTCAGGGTCCTGATCTTTTTCCTCGCAGCAAAAGCCATATGGCTTCTGTGGCAGTCGCGAGCGTGGAAGCTTCGCGAGACTTCGTTTACTCGGCACTTTCCTCATATCCACAATTTTTTAATCGACCGGTTTTTAGTTTTAGATTTAAGTAACACATTTATTGTTCCGAGAAATCATGTTGATTGATTACCACCAAGTGCCTGATCACATGTCATGTAGTTATAAAATATTCTTTTAGCCTTATTCGTAATTTAAAATTGACCAAAAACAATTGAGGAGTTTTATCTTAAGTTAGTGTAAGTTTTAACTGTGTTGCTGAAAAGATCTGTTGATAATCTTTCCTTTTCGAAATTTTATATTCTTTAAAGTGTAATTAATTATACTTGAAAACCTATTCAATAAAATTTTAATTCAAATTTAAATAAATATTTAATCGGGACATTCCCTGAAAAGAAACTAGCAGAATATATTGAATTTTCGCAAATTCCCTATCGATTAATGATGTGTTGAAACAAAAAAGCGGTATCTTTTTAATGAGTTTCGGTATAAAGTGCTCGGCGAAAATCAGGTTAGGTATTCGACGATTTGCAAACGTATATGTAACCGGTCATTCTAATACGCACAGACCGAATTATGAATTCGTCCACCTTGTCGACAAGCACTCTAGGACACTCGACGGGACAGAGAACACCAGAATCTCAAGACTCGGAGTTAACCTCTAGTGCTACTCAGACCTCGAAAATTTTGAATCAAATGAAATCTGAGCTGCAGGAGCAAAAGCAGCGCAAACGATTTCTCAAGGAGCTTCACGCGAAACGTGTGCAATCTTTGCGAAAGGAACTGGACTATCTCAAGGCGACAGAGTGGAGATATCAGCCAATAGATCGGTAAATCATTTATGTTTATACCGTATTCTACTATTTTTTTTTTGCTTTGTGATGATTTTCCTCTTTCCATTGAATATTGATTATTTACACAGATTGTGTAGATATTTATCGTTTTATGTTTGTAGGTACTTAGATAGGAGCCAAAAGAATTAAAGATGTTATCTTTAATCTATAGTGGGATCCAGCACATTATAAATTATATATCTTCAAATAAAACAACAGATGAAGACATAAATGAAATCATATCTCGCATAGAGAGTGCACAGGAGATCAATGCAGATGAAATTGTAGAAAAAAAAGGAACAGTGAAAGAGGAAGGATGTTACTATAGAACGGGCAGTATCACTTTGATCACTACAGATTACGTTCTCATAGATGATCGTTATACATATGAAAAAAACGATGATTTAACAGGTAATCTGAAAATAGGTGATAAAGTTCAATACTTACTGCACCTACGAGAGCCAAATGCAGAGCCAAAAGTACAGAAAATTATCTGCGTGATAAATGAAGGTTGGGACAGTGTAAATATCAGATCAAAGGAAGATGTAGTTCATACGATACCGAGGAGTATAGTTGCCAAAGTAACAAACCGTGAAGGTCGAATTACCATTGTTGAACCGAATAATATCCGCATTGACTTAAACAAAGTGCAATCTGATATTGTTCCTTTAATTGGTGATTGGTTAACATTAGAATCCATAGTCGAATTGTGCAGTGACTCTGTGGATTTGAGTGGTGAAATCTTGGAGGTTGACAGGATCAAACCATTACGATCTAAGCTACATGTTGGTGTAATAACAAAGTACAATCCAGACAACGAAGTAGGAATAATTGATAAACATGTAATATTTCACAAAGGCGCATGTGAAGCAGATTATATTCCCTGTGTCGGTGACAAGGTAGCAAGCGACAGCATAGAGAGTGATCAAGGACAATATAACTGGAGATCAGTGGCTATAGCTCCATTAATTCAGGTAAAAATTTGATTATTACAATTTCTATATCTGTCTATATATAATAAATTTCTAAATATTTATCTTATTTCCTTTCAGACAAACAAAACTTTAAACAAATTCACTCAATTATTAACTATAAACAATAATCCTTCCATATCATCAGATAATAATTTATTAAAAAATAAGTATGGTATTATCATAGATGACAATTTAAAATTTAATTTGAATATAGAAGAAGAGAGTACTTTGGTAGTTTCGATACAAAATAATGCCAGTTATACTCATATGTTGCATAGCAGTTCTTTTATGTCACAGATGAGTCCATCTCAATTGTCAGTAATATCACCAACAAATACAGATATTAACATAGTGATAAATCCCTCGGAAAGTATTACTTACACGTTCAAATGCAAAGCGAAATTTGTCGGCACGTCCCAAGAGATGTTCATCTTTAATTTCAAAGATTTCAAGATCGGTAGAGTGTTTTACATCACTGTCAATGCAAAAAGTATTTCACAAAAAACTGATTCTGTGTCTGTTACACAAAAATACAATCAGAAAATTAATGTTCGCAACTTAAATGAAGTAATTAACGATACATGTATTCCTGGAGTAAGGCCAACTAAACCGCCTGCATTTATCAAAGTACGTAATGGAATATTCAAGATACCGCAATACATTTGGAATGCAGTGTTGGATATTGAAGAGAATAGAAAATCACAAATGGAGTGTGAGATTGCTATCGGAGAACAGATACCATGTCTTCTAAAACGACTTTCATTTGAGACATATAAGGATCGTTTCCATATTTTACTGTATCTAGAAGAGATAGGTCAAATGCTCAAATTGCAACAATATGACATGCAAAGTGCAATTATGCGACGATGTGGGAATTATCTTGTACTCGAAGTGCCAGGGTTAGCAGAAAAACGACCTTCCCTTCTCGTCGGTGATAGAGCCCTGATATCTTTTCAATGGACTAATTCTCAAGGTAATATTTATAAAAGAAAAATTCAAAAAACATAGAACATAGATGTTACTCAACAAAGCGAAATCTTCGACGCCAATTTTTTTTAATTTCTGTATTTTATATAAAGTCAAAAACAATTGTTTTTGTGTGTGATTGCATATTGTTATTTTTAACTTAACTCGAAACGTAGTAATTTAATTTTCCAATAAGAATATCTTGTTATATTTTAATCTAGTTTGCTAAAAATAACGGCACAATTTATAACATAAACAGTTATTCTTAAATTTATAAAAAATTTAAAAATAAAAAAAATAATTAGGCGCCGAAGATTTTAATACTGATACTATTGCTTCAAACATATGTTTTTATATCTGTATGTATTATCGAATGATTAAAACATTTTGAAACTAATTTTGATATATTGAAATATGAATTATATGTTATACTGAAATTATTCATTTTTAATCTACTTTGTGTAGAAAAACTGAAATATGAGGGCTTCATTCACAAAATCAAGAGCACAGAAATCTTTTTGAAATTTAACGAAAAGTTTCATCATGAATACAATGGTGAGGATTGTCAAGTGACATTTAAATGCTCGCAAAGTACTATTCAACGTTGTCACAACGCTATTAATTTAGCCACAAATCGTCTTGGATCTGATTTTTTATTTCCTACTAGAGTAGTGCAAAAAGAACCACAAGTTCATTTGGAAGAATATAAGATTGAAGAAAATCCCACTCGCACGCCAATTTATCACAAACACAATAAATCTTTACATTCTGACAATTTCTCTTCTATCAACGATACCTTTGATAATGTAAATAAAATTCCAAGAATATCAGTAGCAGAAAGACTTTCTAATACTAAGTCTATTGAATCAACACTCGAAGAGGCAAAGAGATCCACGAGAACAAATCAAAATTTTAAAACCAATTTAACAAGTACAAGTAACAGAAAAATTAATATCGCTAACACTATAATTACAAGGCAAAATAAATTGATTGATCATACTGACAATGAACTGGAACCATACATAACTCAAATAAAGAAACGGAAATTAAATTGGTTTAATAAGAAATTGAATTATTATCAGAAAGAAGCTGTAAGAAATATAATATTAGGATTGGCACGCCCGTTACCTTATGTTATATTCGGCCCGCCTGGAACAGGAAAAACAGTGACGTTGTGCGAAACGATTTTACAACTTTTGACCACAATTCCCGAAAGCAGGCTTCTCGTAGCAACACCATCGAATAGTTCAGCAAACTTAGTAGCAGAACGCTTATTGGACAGTAACGTACTTAAGCCTGGCGATTTGGTAATTTTTGATTAATTTTTTCATAGATCGGTTTATTGTTTTATCTAACGAGAATTTATATAAACTAATCATATATTCATTCATAAAGATCATATATTCATTCATAAATAAAGATCATAAAAATCAAGTCAAGAGTAATTAAATAACTTTGGTACATTTTCTCATTGTATACATGCCATAGGTTCGACTGATAGCCTATCATTACTTGGATAACGACTCTATTCCCGAAAGACTGTTACCTTATTGTGCTACGGCAGAATTAGCTGAGGAAGGAACGTGCGATACCTTCCATCATCGCGCAGATGGGTTAAGAATGAACTGTACCATGTCCGTATTGGGTCGCCATAGAATTACCATTGGTACCTGCACCACATTAGGAATTTTGTATAACATGGGTTTTCCCCGTGGTCATTTCTCGCACGTTCTGGTCGATGAAGCAGGTCAAGCAACCGAGCCGGAGATCATGATTCCTCTGAATTTCATTCATTCCGATCATGGCCAAGTAGTTCTTGCGGGTGATCCGATGCAACTTGGACCGATCACAATGAATAATCTCGCGGCACATTATGGATTAGGAGAATCATTTTTATCACGACTTTTACAACAGTTTCCTTATCAGAGAGATACTGAAGGATTCAAGACTGGCTATGATCCTAGACTCGTTACGAAACTCCTAATGAATTATCGGAATTTACCAGAAATATTAGATTTACCAAACTCATTATTTTACGAATCAGAATTACAACCGCAGGTATGTATAACTATCATTGTTATATTAAATTCGGATTTTTATAAATTATGTGCAATTTGCTTGTTCACCATATTTAGATATTGCCTATAGAAAGTGAGGAAGCTAAACTATTAGAAATGCTGAGAGCAGAACTACCCGAAAGAAATGGGTCACCACCGGCTATGATCTTTCACGGAGTCAATGGTAAGAACTACAGAGATTCCGAGAGTCCAAGCTGGTATAATCCCGAAGAAGCGACACAAGTGTACCTCTATTTATTGAAATTATATAAATATGGACTTGAGCCGGATGATATAGGAGTTATAACCCCTTATCAGAAACAGGTATATACATGGTTTAAAATTCCACTGACCGATGATTTTGTTCCTTATTTTCTATAATTTTTTCTAAATTAAGGTATTGCAAATCCGAGATCTGCTGTTAGAATTAGATCTCAAGTTACCAAAAATCAGCAGTGTAGAAGGATTTCAAGGCCAAGAAAGAAAAGTGATCATTGTTTCAGTTGTTAGATCATGCAATAATCTAATTGAAGAAGACATCAAACATGCCCTAGGTTTCGTTGCCTCACCCAGAAGACTTAATGTCGCGATTACTCGTGCTCGCGCTTTGCTCATTATCTTAGGAAATCCTGAATTACTTATTTTGGATTCACATTGGAAGAATCTTCTTATTTATTGTATTAATCATGATGCATATACAGGATGCAATTTTTCATCTTAAATATAAACAGGTTTGCAAAACGTGAAAAATATTTCATAATATAACTACGTATAAGAGTTGTAATATATTTAAGTAATATTAAGATTTTAATAATTATAATTATAATTATTAGTTTATAAATAATAATAATTATAATTATAATATTAAAGTATAACAAATCTTATACCTGAGGTATATTTGATATAACAAAATGAGTGTTATTATATTTGTAAGTTTCTGCAACCATGCCAGTTAATAACATGCTAGTTAATAACAAATTGAAACTAATAGAATTTCTTTGTAAATTCTTCAACAAAATATTGAATTTTATTTTTTGAAGCTTTTTATTAGCATATATTTGACAGAATGACATAATTTCATAGTTTTAAGCTAAAAATGTGATTTATGAAGATATGGAACTGTACAATAAGTAAATGCGATATTTTCTTTTATAAAATATTATTGGTCGCTTTGTTTTGTTAAAGCATCATTTGACAATATCAAGAAATTGATGATGAATAAAAATAGATCTAACTTCATACTGTTACAATCCTATTTTCAATATTTTCTTACAATTGAAAAATACATGATGTTAAATCTAATTAATATTAATAGTCGAAATATCTCTTTTCGGCACTACTTCTCCACGTTACATCGAAATGTCACAAATCCAAATTCCACGAATGTTGATACTGAAACGAAAGTAAATTGTTCTTAAAATTTATTTGTAAGAAAAAAATATGTCGAAACATCACATATCTTTTATAATACATGTAATGACAAAATAATATGAAAAGAAACAATACTTCGAAAACAAAAAAGTTCAATATAGTTTGTTCTTATATAAATACACAAGGATAAAGTAAAATAATGTGTAGAACATATACAACAAACGGATTAAATACATTTAAACATAAATTAGTTAAATTATTACATTCATAATATACAATTCCTTGATATATTACTGTTTATAATATGTATAATTTGCTTTACTTTCTCTTTTCTCATACTGCAATGCGTTATGCGTTAAATAAACTAAATGTTATATTATACGCGCAATATGATTATGAATGATACTGACCTCTGTTAGTTCCACACTATACTTACTGGATCTTGATTCTTCGCTTTTAATTTTCTCTCAATTAAATTCTCTAGTGCTTCACTTCGTACACTCAAAGTCTCAATCTTCTCAACCAATTGCTGATATGGGGACGCCGGTTGTCCTCCCATTACTACATGTCCCAATTTACTATCGATCTTAGCGTCCAAACGTGCGTTACGAATTAAATTGACAATCCAACACTCAGCAACATCCGCCTTCATATTTAATTTTTCCGCGAGCATTCTGTGCAAATCACAAGTAACTGATAAATATTGAACACAAATATGGACTTAATATTTTTATAATCATAAAAAAAGTTACATACTGGATACTAATGCACTGATGAATTCTACAGAATGTTTCAAAGATCATCAATCGTGCGTTTTCCACAAATTCATTTAGTAGAGCAATCAAAAAGAAATCGTTGAAGACGACAGTCTGGCACTCTTGCAACTTCTGCCGAGCTCCATCAAAATCAAAATTAACGTACAGATGTTCCAGAAATTCTGTGATGGGATCCCGATAAGTATAAGATTCCTATACAATAAAATTTTTAATTAGAAAAATTTATATATATATTTTAATAATTGTAAACAATGTCTAAAGAATTGCAATTTTTTGTAATTATAGAGTTAAACAAGTTTTAATTTTATTTTTCTATTATTTTCTCAGCAAAAATTCAATTATAAATATATATCTTCCTTTTTAAAAACTTTAATTTTTTATTTTAAATTAAATTTATTATGTATATTCAAGAAACTTGCATAAATTTTTATATATCCTATAAAGTAATTTCAAAATTTGACCTGCTGTATCACTTTCACAAGATCCTTCAGAATAGACCGCCTAGAACGATTGACAATAACTGCCGCAGCTAAGTAACGAAGAATATGTGGACACATTGTTTGAATGGCATTTAAATAACTGCAAAAATATACACATTATAGCTTATCTGACTTTTATAAATATCAAATGTCTTTTTTTAAACAATTATACATACTGTGGTCGATAAAGGAACATTTCAATAATGAGATCTCTTCCTTTTACATGATTAAAGAATACGAATAGACTCCAGTGAATGAGCCATGTACGTTGCTGTAATACTTGCAGTGAATTACCGATAACATTACTATCGATATACTCTCGCAACTTGTTTACATCTTCCAAAGCAGTTTCCCAATTTTGTACAAGAATCTCTGATGCTAATTTTCCCCACAAAACATTTAAATAGTTCTGGAAATTAGACGTTTTAAAATTAAATCAGAAATTTCTGTTTAGAAATATCTTATACTTGATTCTGCTTATTAAAAATTGTACAATACCTTATCAGTAGGAGGCATAATCAGCATATAAAAGTATAAATATGATGTAGAAACAGAATAATTGCCACATTCGTAACGATATTTTGCTAGCTTCACAAAGCTGTCCATCATTTCTACTCTAAACTGCAATCCCCAAAGATTAGACAAAGTAAATCTGTTACTTATAATATTAAGTATCAGATCAAATATTCCAATATTTAACAATAGTAATAATTATTCTACTTACATCTGATTCTTGAGTAAGATAATTATTAAGCGCTTTGGAATCACGCATATTCTCCATTTTCTTCATAACTTCCTCGTTATTCATAAGAGCCAGGACTACCGAAACATTGTTTTGTAATACACCAAGCTCTTGGAGCACATCAGCGCGTCTGGCTTTTATTTCCTAAAATGAATAAAATTACTATCATTAAACTCATCCTCACTCACATCGAATCGAGGACGAAACTCTCGCCAGCTCTTGCTAATTCTTGCAACCTCTCGCAGTCACACACAATGGTAACGAATACATTACGCAGTAGAACGCACCTCCGGCACATCTACATTGGGATAAAGCTGCTTCCTAATGTCGATGGTATAGTCGATCATGTTCGTTTTGCTGAGAATGTCAAGTTTCGCGTGCAGAAGTTCATCCTCATCGTAAATCTGTGAAAAAAAGACATGTGACATAACTCAAATGTAACGTATCGCATTCTGATACACATTTGTGCCCCGTTCACCTGCTTCGCCGACAAGAACTCCAATAAAGGAAACACCAAGTGGCGGTCGAGATATTGACCTATGCGAGACGTCAAGTCGAATTTTGCCATCGCGTCGTTGTCGGTTTAACATCCGTTTAATTCGCGAATAGCGAATCTAACCACACCTGTACTTCGTCACGAATGCGCCGGACGAAAAGCGAGAGAACAACGTGGCGTCAAGGAGCTTGAAGTTAGCAACAGTTCGCGATATGGAATTTAGCGATATTTCTCGATTAATCGATATTCGATTATCTCTTCAAAGTTACTTTAAGGATACATTCTAAACAAGGCGAATTTTTTAATTCATCGATTAATAAATCACATTATGCGCAAATGCAACTTTGCTCTATAAAAGCAACATTTGCGCATTATGCGATTAATCAATCAATAAATTAAAAAACTCGCCTACATTCTCTCAGAGAATAATTTTTTAATAATAATTTTATAATATATTATAATGTATTATAATATATTATAATATATTATAATATATTATATATTATAATATATTATAATAATTATATATAATTATATATAATATATAATATATAATTATATATAATATATAATATATTATAATATATTATAATAATTTTATAATATATTATATTGATATAGTATATATTACGCTATATTTCGAATAAAATTTTCCTCTGAGAAGATATTTTGGAACGCTAAAAGGAAAACAGCAATAATCGTTAAATTAATTTATTTCTGTTAAATTGGTATACGTTTATTAATATGAATAAAACTTGAACCCTTTACTATTCATTATTAAATTTGTCGCTCATTTATCTGCACTTCCTAGAATTTTCGATGAAAATTTGAAGCAGGATAGATATATTCGCCGGCGACAAAAAAAAAAGAACGAGAAACTTAAGTGCAAGAAGTTGATCAGAAAACAGGCAAATAGATTTATGAATTGTTCACAAAGATTATATATCATATTTTGTTTATTGTATATTTATTAAAATTGATATTACTATAATATTAATAATCAGTTATATAGTAATCACAATTATAATTTCATATTTCTAGAAAATTCTTTCGTATAATGTTTGTCATTCTGATCCGAAATAACATCGATCATTGCGCTTGACTTCAGTGCAGTGTACTCTAACGTGGAGTTATCTCTTTTGAGATACGAGATTTTAATCAGAGAATTTTAACAGGTTTCCTCTTCGCCGAGGAAATATATTCGAATTAACAAGATGCCACCGAAAAAAGCACCGGCGCCGAGCAAAAAGCAGAACAGAAGAAAAAGGAAAAGTTATCGAGGTAAGAGGCAAAGCTTCTCATTTCTAACCAAAAATTTCCACATGTTTTCTCAATGAATATGTAAAGTCAATTAATTTTTCTTATTATTTTTATTAATATGTACCAAACATGTAAAATCTAAAGTTGATTTTTCTCTTAAGGATAAAACGTTCGGTATAAAAAATAAAAAGGGCGCCAAGCAACAGAAATTTATCCAGCAAGTTGAAAAACAAGTAAAGTCGGGCGGTGTAAATCCTCGTAAACTCGAAGATCCTAATGTCAAAAAATTAGAGAAGGAGAAGAAGTTAAAGGAACAGAAAGAATTAGCTCTCATTTTTAAACCTGTTCAAACACAAAAGATAGATAAAGGTATTAAGGATATTGACGATATTGTAAGGTTGTTATTACATTCACTATCTATGTCTGGACAGACAGAGTGACTTTAACTGGCTTGATGCAACAATCAACGTGTTAAATATTAAACAGATGTATCTTTAATTAAGAAGATAATTCTATGGTAAAACGACTTTTGCAGGCATAGATCCTAAGTCTGTTGTATGTGCATTTTTTAAACAAGGACAATGTACAAAAGGAGATAAGTGTAAATTCTCTCATGATTTAAGTATCGAACGGAAAGCTGAGAAACGATCTTTGTATTGTGATATGAGAGATGATGATGATAAGGAGGCAGATACAATGGATAAATGGGATGAGGATAAACTGAAAGAAGTTGTGGAAAAGAAACATGGCGGTGGCAATCGACCAACCACTGATATTGTAAATAATTCAAACAGTTTGCTAGCATTCGTAATTGTAAAAAATCTCACTCAAATTATAAAAATATGAAATGAGATGATTCTTCTTGCTAGATATGTAAACACTTCTTGGAAGCAGTTGAAAAATCAAAGTATGGTTGGTTTTGGGAATGCCCATCTGGTCAGAAGTGCATTTATAGACACGCTCTACCGCCTGGATTTGTCTTAAAGAAAGATAAAAAAAAGGAGGACAAGAAGGATGAAATTTCCCTGGAGGATTTAATAGAAACAGAAAGGGCTAATTTGGGACCTAATCAGGTATAAAATTTTATGAAATATGTAAGATTCTTAGACTAAAAATAAATTTTATTTGAAGCATGTATATTAATTATATATTTCATATAAAAAAATTTCAACAGACCAAGATAACGTTGGAGACATTCTTGGCTTGGAAAAAGAGAAAGTTGAAAGAGAAAGAAGAGCAGGCGATCAAAGATGAAGAGAAAAAAAGAAACGATTACAAAGCTGGTCGTCAAGTTGGTATATCAGGAAGAGAAATGTTTTACTTTAATCCAGATCTTGCAGAAGGAGATGGTATGATCTCATTTAGAAGAATTCATTAAAATCTCTTTTAACATAATGTTTGTTATTTGTTTACTTAAATATTATAGGTATCGATGAAGGAGACGAAGCAATATCTAGTTACACTCGTGAAGAAGATGATTCTGAAGATGTACAATATAGAGAACTTGACACGGACCGTCTTGCTTTTGAAGCTAGCGAAATTGAAACAAAGGGTATCACTATGGCAACTATTGATCGATTGAAGGCCAACAATACTACCGATAGTAATAAAAATACTACAGGTTATGATTATACCAGTTAATAATTCATAATTCCCTTATCTTTAAATACGATAAATATTTACACTTGCTAAACATAAACAGATGAATATAATATACCATATTATTTGATAATTAAACACAAAATTTCTATTGCAGTAACTGCAGAAGAGGGTGCTGTGGCCGTAGCTATTAATGAAAATCTCTTTGTGGAAGAAGATCTAGAAGGTTTGGAAGAAGAATTAGGGGACCTGGACTTGGAGGAGTAAGCCAGATGTCCCGATTATTTCTGTCTCCTCACCATCTTCCTCTTCCCAATGTTTTATCCTTTAAATACGTATCACTTCGATAACATCAAATTAATATCAAGCGTGATACATTGTATATTGTATATATAATTTGTATTGCATCTACATAAATATACTGTCAGCATATTCAAATATGTATACAAAAAATTGATGTGGTTACAAGCAAGAGATATACCAAAACTCTGCCCTCATTGTTTGACCGATTAAAATTGAGTCTTTTTATGTCAAATTTATTTAATAATTGCTTATTAAACTATTTAGTATTATACATTAAATAATATACATTATTTTTGTAATATCAAAACATAATGGCATAGAAAGATTTAAGCAATCATATATACTATATATGCTTAATCCGAATGCAACCCTAGTTTATTTGATTGTCAATTACCCCGCCCGAGGTGCTAGGATCAAAATTTAGAGGACGAGATACATTTGGAGCGATTACTTGTTGTCCAGCACTGACTACAGATTGTTCCGACAGTTTGCGTCTGAAGTTGCATTACTCTGTATCCCTGGGACATTTCTCAGTGTCCCTGGAGGATCCGACATGCTGGGAGCTGACATTCTACTAATGCCTTGGCCAAGCAAGAGTCCTGGTGTTGATGTTGAACATTGAATCCCTAACGTGTCATAAACTCTTCTCATTTCAATTAGATTTGAATTTAGCTGATTATTTGGTTGGATTATTGTAAGTGTTACATAAAATTATCTTTGCCGATTCTTTGCTGGTTCTTTATCGGCATGCAGATTGGACAATCACTTCTATTACAATATTTCCAATGATTGATGATTGATTTGGACATGCTACAAGAGGACACAAAACCATTTTTACCCCTTGTACAGTTTGTCGTATGTTTTAAAACTTTTTTCATTGTTTTACAACGTGATAAAGTACATCGTTCCATTTCGTTTGCTTGGTTTTCACGTCGTTGACATTTATCAGCGTGCAAAAGAAACACCAAGTATTCTTGTATGAATCTACATTTTTCTGAATCGGGCGTGAATTTTGTACAGTCTGTTGGAGCACCGGTACTAGTCATTTGTCCTTGAGTAGCTTGTTGCGGACCCTGTTGTTTTCCAATCGGCACACTTGATTGAGCCGGATTCGGCACAGGTGGCTGCGCCTGTTGTGCTGCCGTTTCATCTTCTTGACCGCCCACGACGTTCATAGCAGTCGCTTGCATGGAAGACATGTTTGTTCCTATACTCTTTTGCTGCGGTTTGATGATATCTACGGGATTATTGACGCATATAGTTAGAGCTGGCTTATGCTTCTGTCTTAGTCTTAACCTTAAAAGTTGGAAATGAAGAATGTAAGGTGAAAATGAAGCATAAGGTCATGCTTTCCTAGTCTTAAAGCATAAACGATCTTATGGCATTCTTCATTTCCAACTTTTAAGATTAAAACTAAGAAGCATAAATCAGACCTAAATATTTTCTTATTTTTAAATAAATTACTTTAGTTTTTCAGTTTTTTTCTTTCACGGACTTAAACAGCTAACCTTTGAATTCTTTCCCTTTGTCCTTTTCTGAACTAATATCACTGAAGAATGAATCCTGTTCTTTTACATCACTTGAATTTGACAAAAGCCAAAGGTGAATGGTGGGAACAACCAATCAGCATCGTTCCAAAAATTTCATAGCTTTCCCTTCCGATTTTAAGCACCTGGTTCCATGGAGCATATTTTTCAGGAAACGAAATCTGTTCTAATCTTATATTTTTTTCAAATTGATAATTTTTCATTTTATTTAATTAATATATTAATTGAATTAAATAATAAAAAATTATAGATGATTGTTAATATATTTATTACATGTAAATATGATTGTTTATATATATATATATATATATATAGGGGTATATTCAGAACAGTAATAGTTGACTTATTTTTTTTCTAGATGTTGGCTGCCATATAACTAAACGAGAAGCCATTCACAGCGCTTGAACAGTGAAAAAATTCTAGGAGCCAGCCCTTGTGGGTGGCTAGTGGTCAATCGGGACGTGGTCAAATGGGTGTCCCCGTTCCGAACCCATTATAATCTGCAGAAATGTTGAGATGTCTCATTTGAAAATTCAAGATCGTAATAATAAAATATATAATTTTGTAATAACAAAAATATTTACAATTTAGCTCATAATGGTAAGTATTATAATAATATTATTGTAATAACAAAATTTTTGTCACAATTAATATTTTTAGAACTTTTATACACAGAAAAGTTTTTGATTAAGCAGGAACAGAAATATCTTGAATTACTACGGTCTTGAATTTCTAAATGAAACATCCGACATCTTTGTAGGTTAGGATGGGTTCGGAATACTTCTCGATTTAGTTACATGGCAGCCAACATCTAGAAAAAAAAACAAATTAACTATTATCGGAATATTATTTGGAATATATCCATATATGTTCCATGAGGAATCAAAGTGCATAAAATCAGGGGATCGATCATGTAACTTTTCCTCTAGGGCGGAAACGTGAAAAGTGAAAAGTTTTATGTGAACTTACGATCATGTACGATTTTGCGGGATCATGTAACTCTCTCAAACGTGAAAATGTGAAATTTTTCACGTAAACTTTTTCGCCATATATCTTGGTGGCGAAAAGGCGGAAATCTAGGGAATTAACAAAAATATGTTCGGAATTAGAGAAGATTAGGGCTGCGTTAGGATTAAGTGTATGTAGTACATATATAATTGGTTATTAAAAGATGTATATAATACTGTACCAATAAAATATTTTCATTAACTATAAAACCTATGAAACTATGTTTCATGATTTCACTTTCCACGCATCCAAGTTACATACATAATCGCTGTACGTGAAAAGTTTCACGTGAAGTGTCAAGGTGTGAAAAATGAAAAATAAAAAGTGAAAAACGAAAAGTGAAAAATTTCACATAAAGTTACATGATGAATATGAAATTTTCAGAACGATGCTGATTGGCTATCTCCACCTTTCCAATTCCGTTTCGATTCCGTTTTCCGTGCTCATGGGACGACACTCTGGGCCTGTTCTGTACAATGCGTCATGTGTCAATCGTGAATCTCGACCGTAAGAATGGGCCAATCACAATCAAGTATTCTCTTCACATTCGTCTGTGATTAGTCAATTATTGTAGTTTGCTGCTTGCGACACTGACATGCGACGATTGTAGAACAGGCTTGAAAGGGCTGTATAGAAAGCTTTCCAGCAAGAAGACACATACTACGTTTACACGGCGACGTTAAACCGGTTTAGTAACAACAATAGATAGTGAAATCTTGCGTTCGATTGGTATATTCTTTTAAATCTAAAAATGTGTTCCAATTAAATGCAGAAAATCTCTACGGTTGTTACTAAATCGGTTTAACGTCGCCGTGTAAACGTGGTAACAGATAGACACTGTGTCATACAATTAAACACAATGTCTGAGTCATAGACATTTATACTATACACTAGACCGCTAACTCCTCTGTTTAGCCTAAAAGTTGACCCCAAAACTTATGTATTACATAGGCTGAGTTCGGGGAGTGCGCTATTAGAACTATTGCATCATTTTATCCTTAATTTACATATAATGAGCAAAAATAAAATGATGTGATAGTGCTAATAGCGCACTCCACGAACGCAGTCATAATGTGACGTAAGAGGGACAAATAATGTCACGTATTTAACATGTCACGCGAATATGGCTGATGTACTACAAGACAGAAGCGCCCCGTTTGACTATGTTGTAATTGACCACAGTCACTCACAGCGGCCGATGCCTACAGGTTTTCCTTTGCTCAAACGCTATGAGTGGCTAGTGGTCAATTGCAACATGTTAAATGGGCTCCATCCCTACAAGACATAAACTTTTTATTAAAGATCTTAAATATCTTTATTCTTCAATTTTGCTTTAGAAATTTTTTTCATTTTGTATTAAATAAATTTCTTTACCTAAATCTGATTTTATATATACCTATATACCTATATATATATTTGTAAAAGACATAACTTTTTGTTAAAGAAACTTTTTTCTTCAAGAAATGAATAAAACATATACATATATACATATATACATATAACAATTATCGAAAAGAATAAAAAAACATTACATATTTGTTAGTCAAATATATAAAATTTGTGGTCGGTATAGCATATATAGCATATATGGGACTTTCATGTGCATGTGTGTCCCCTTACTTTACACATGCGCATGAGTTTGTACGTGCTTTTTGGGGCCATATATTTGAAGCAAGTTAGCAGTCTAGTATATAAATATAAATGGCTATGGTTCCAATATTTTTTGCCAGCACTGAATCTATAATATATGTGACATAAACTATATATTTTCAGTACTGGCAATGGTTGCGTTCAGCAGAGAAAGCAAATCAGTGAACGTTCAGTGTTTCTTTATTATGATTGGTTTCTATATTTACATTCAACGAAGATCTAAAGGCAAGGACCAATCATATTGAAAAATTACTGAGAACTCACTGATCTGCTCTCTCTGCTGAACGTATCCAATATCGGAACACAGTCTGATATTTTTTTTAAATGTAACGGAACCCAGAAATAAGAACCAATCACGTTCAACCACATTCGTTACGCCAGGTAGCTGACCGTTTGTTGAATTGCTGTAAGATCACTTCAACGACCACGTTCGAAGGGTAAGTGCTCGCAAAATTTGGGTGAGTCATTTCTAATTTATTTATTTAAAGATTAATTTTTTTCTCGCGAAATTGCTTCAAATTTAAGGAATCCAAGTCTAAAAAATAATATATTGTTTCAATTTTAAATAGATTTTATTTAAAATGTGAACAAAATGTGAACAAATGTTGAACTACATGCTACTACATGCCACTACATGCTGAACAATTTTTTATAATAACGATATTGTTTCAAGAAGATGATTATTTAATTTATATCGTTGGTACGCGTATCAAATGTAAATTAATTGTGAAATGAATTGTGAAGAGTTATATTAGATATAGAAAACGACGCTCTAGATGCCATATTACACTTCATAGAAAATGACGCATAGACGCCATATTAAATACTATAACCTATTGCCCATAAAATGCGTTATGGCGGAAGTTGATGGCCCTTACTTTCGCCCTTATAAAAAAATGGTAAATTGATTGGCTATCGCTGCCAATTTTCGCCACGCGTAACGCATGACGCGTTCTGAGCAATAGGCGGATAACATACATTTTATTGAACGCTATAGTTAAGAGCTATAATTATCAAGTCAAAATGATATAGCGAAGATTATTATATCTTATATCTTATAACTTATTTCTTATATATCTTATAACTTATATCTTATATCTATTATATCTATTACTATTAACTTATATCATTTTTCTGTTTTTTCCTTAAGGAGTTTTGAGTTTATCTCGAGAGAATGGAGAAATCCTTCGGGCCATTGAGTGGATCTGACGTCTCTTGACCCACATAAATTTTTTGTATTGCATCATCATGTCTTATATCTATTATATCTATTAACTTATATCGTTCTTCTGTTTTTTTCTTAAGGGATTTTAAGTTTATCTCGGGGTGAAGAATGGAGAAGTCCTTCTCGGGCCATTGAGTGGATCTGATCTTCTGACTGTCTCTTGACCCAGGTTATGCACATTGTTGATCAAATATTCTTTGAACGTCCATGATCAGTAAGCATTTTCAGCGAGCGGACATTTTTGTGAATGATTGTCCGTGTTCAAGTCGAACGACAACCAGCCTGCTTTGTCGGCTTAAACATAGTTATTTTCGTACTCGGTGAACACATCGTTTTACAAACAATTGCAAATTTGGCGGAACTATAGCATTTCTGTACACCAAAAACCAAAACCTTTCTGAAAACCAAAAATATAAAATTGTTGGCCATTGTTGATGTAAATATTAAGAAAACCGTGAAACAATTTCCATTTTCGTAAATGATACATAAACGGTATGTCCGATTAGATGATATATGATTTCTAAATAAAAGTTATGTTTTTGTGTATGCACATAAATATTTATATATAAGAAACCATTCAGAAAATTGCTTACTGATTTTATGCCATGGACCTAGTAAGCCTTCCAACTGTTGGTTGAACGCAATCTATAGCATAGATACCGTAACAAAAATGCGATATTATAGACGTTATAACATTTTGACGAAAACATCTTTATTATGGCAAAAGATGATAATGAAGATTACAGCGAAACCCGTATGGAAAGGAATCCATATATATAATAGTAATTGAATAGCTATTCATGCATGTAATCGCTAATAGTTACTACTCAAGTTACTACAGAAATTGAATAGTAACTATATAAATCTGAATAGTTCTCAATAGTTTCTTTCCATACGGGTTTCGCTATGTATGAAAAAACGCTAAGAAAATATATAGGTGAGAGAATATATTTCAATATAAATAAAAATTAGAAATTGAAAATTAAAATAAACTAAGTACTAAATAAATTAAGGTTAGAATAGATTAAGACTTTATAGTATCTAATACATTATAATATAATCTAAAATAATGAAAAGTTAAACTAAGTTTAGATTAAATTGATACTTTATAATGTATTGTAATATATATGTACATATGATATATGAAACATGTTAACATATGTATTATATGTTCTTTATAATCTATGACTCTAAGTTAGTCTATCGAAATAAAATTTATTCACTTTATACTTAATATAATAAAACTTAAGTAGACTTTAATTATAGATAAACTCGTGTAATCTTTAACTAATTGTAATATACATTTTATTTACAGTCATCAGAATGATTATATTACTAATGGGAAGTGCTCTATACAATTAAATTAATAAACATAAAAAGATGTGAAGTTTACTTTATATCTTTTTATGTTACTAAGAAGTATATACATTTTAATGTAAAAATATATAGTCGATTTATTATTGTTTTTCTTATTAACTTTTTATTTTATTTAGATTGAAGTTTTATTCTCACCTATCTATTTTTTTTTTACTTTTAAAATTTTGAATACAAAAATCCAAAAGTAAGATATGTATAGATATAAAATCCAGCATATAAGAGATCTTTAAAATATCGTATAAATTTCTTTTGAACATCTTTCATAAAAAATATATTTTTAACACATCGTATGCTCTGACTTATGTTGTCTGAAAAAAACTCAATTATCTATTGCAACATGTGATTTACTGAAAAATCTCAATGAAAAATGTGATCAATTAAAATCTTGTTTGATCTTTAGCTCTTTTTTTAAACATTTTATGTTTATTGAATCATTATACAACAAAATTCTAAGATACTTTGTCATCATTTATCCAGGTTTGATTCCTGACTGAGATAATATTTTTTCGCAAAAATAATTACAAATTTTCACAACCGATTCGTAGTCTCGTGGATCTCGCTGTGACGCACATTCTCCCTTCTATTCAATTATTCTATACATTTCATTCATTAATATATGTACTCAATAAAATTATAGGAAAAAAATCTATTATGATAATCTGCTAATAACGATCTTTATATTAAAGCCATTTATTTATACTAAATAAATACTTACTGAATATCTTTAAAAAATAAAAGCAACAAATGATATAACGAAACTTGTATTTGTTACTGAAAAATATCTTATATAGAAGTCTGCTTAAACCATTCGTTGTCTGGAATAATCTAGGAAGGCATAAAATATAATAAATAGTAAAATTTAGATCAATATTCACGTTTGTATTTCAAAATCGTTTCAAGTATTTTAAGATATTAATATAGCTTTATGGCCAGTATTTATAGTCTAGTCTCATTTTAAGACTACTACTTTTAAATAATATCTTAAGACAGTAACGTTAATACAGGTTAATACAGGTCTATAATTAATTGATAATCTTTTAAGACAATACTTAAAATAATCTTAAATATAAGATTTTAATTATAAATACCGGCCCATGATTGGTTTATGACATCTTAAGGCTGCCCTTAAGATAATAATAAATATAAAGGTTAACTCAATAATATATACTGGTCTCAATCTTACTATTCATGTTTTCTTTATGTGCTACCTTAGTGTCGGTCCACAATAGATGATTTAAGCTTTAAAAAGTAAGAAATTGACCAACTATAATCGAATATGAAAAGAATACTCGACTATGATTAGTCAATTTCTTACGGCTTAAAGATTAAATACTTATTGTGGACCGACACTTAGTCTCGGTCCACAATAGATATTTAATCTTTAAGCCATAAGAAATTGATCAATCATAGTCGATTATTTTTCTCATTATTTTTCTCTATTCGATTATGATGGGTCAATTTCTTACTTCTTAAAGTTTAAATCACCTATTGTGGACCGACACTTAGGCCAATCACAATTGAAAAGTATTGAAGTAGTGAACCATTAAGACATTTTTCAGTAATAAACACGAATGGACATAAGTCTTTACCTATTATTTTTACGGATTCGATTCATAATTAGAAAAAGATGAAGAGTAAGTTAAACAGAGAGTTAAAGTTAGGGTACGTTCGAAAACACCACTCGAGTGACTTCGTGTATCGTTTTCTGACATCTCCATGACCTGTGGTGTCTCGAATGTTGGTTAATCGAATGTTAAACAAGGATAAGACGCTACATGGAGTCACTCGGATGGTGTTTTCCAATGTATTCTTAATCTACGTTTGGTGGAATCGGACATTAATGATACAAGTATCATTTCATCCTTGTTAGACACTAAATGTCAAGAAAGATAGAATATTTATATTGACTTTCTAAATGAAAAGCATCTTATATGTCATAAATATTTAGTTAGTTAATTCTGTACACACTTATCAACAACTGTCAGTGTCGTTAATTAATGACAGCCATTGAGAGCTGTGCTTTCTTCCTTGATCATTCTTGTCATTACTTGTTGATAAGCGTGTACAAAATAACACTGTGTCACAATTAATGTTTTTTTATTACAGAAATAATATTTATGTATTTTATACATATACATTTTCATATATTCATAAATTATTTTATTTCTATTATTTTCTTGATTTACATTTACAGTTAATTAGTTCAAAATAAAGTTGATAATTTTTAGATTTTTTATTTAATAACATAATTTAATACAAATTTAAATAATTTTATATCATGCAAAAATATATTAAAGATATTAACTCGATTATTTTAATAGTTATTTTTATAACCATAATGCAGGATTCATATTGCATCTGGCATTCGACATCCAATAAAAGAATACGTTTTCTAGAAACAAAAATATTCTGTCTAGAAACCTTAAAAATTGAAATCTGCTATTGGATATTGGATCATCATATGTCGGATGTCGGGCGCAGTATGAATCCTGCAATAAAGAGAAGCAGAAGTGCCATGTATGCACTATTATGGACTATTCCTAATTTTTAGTTATTGGTTAGTGATGTCGCCACTATTTCAATAACAAGAGTGGATATAGTAACTGATGGTTCATATCTATGTAGTTAAAGCGTACAACATTTGTTCTTATTAGTGTTCATCTATTGAGGAGAATGTTTCTTTTGCTTTGTAAATGACTAAAATGTAAAATTGCAAAGAATTCTTTCATATTTCTCAATATTTTCCCTTGATATTCATTTTCGGACTAATAACAAATGTTGTTAACCTTACAGAGTTTGAGAAAACTGTATTCAAAGCGATTGAAATTGAAGGATTGATAAAAGAAGCAGAAATCATGGATAGTGGTGCGTATTTTTCGCATTTTTCTCTTTTTTATATATTTAATTATGAAAACAAATTCAATAATTTACTTGTGAAATTTTATTAGGTATTGAGGATAATACTATGAATACTGAAAATATTAATTTGAAGGCAGAGCCTTTCAACGATTATTCTCAACATGATACAGGGGATGATACAGATTATCATTCTGGAGAGACAGATTTTCTGCCTTTTATAAAATCCCAATCAACATTAAATGATACATATGAAGAATATGTATCTGAAGAAGATAGCGAGCTTATTGAACATCCTAATAAGTATAATGACTTGCATGAGTATAGATGTGACTTGGATACTGATTATGTTGCCGATGTTTACGAGCACCAAAGTAAGAGGAGAAAGATGAATAATGGAGAAATTCTTAATGTATCAGAAGAAAAGAAATATGTTGATCAAGTCAAGACAGTAGATAATGATAATGTGAATGACACAAGTAATATATCCAATAAAATTCAGCGTATTATGAAGAATATGGGATACAAGACAGGTAAAGGTCTTGGTAAGGATGATCAAGGACGTGTAGAACCGATAGAAGCGGTTATACAACATGGGCGAAGAGGTTTTGGACATTATGTACCAGGTCTTAAGGAAGCTAGTCTTAAGTGGAATCCCAAAGAGGAAGAGATAAAGGCTATAGAAGATATTGAATGGCTACCAAATATGCATTCTGAGACACCACAGGTCATGGAGATGTCAGATTGGATCAAATTGGGACCAAGAAAACACACCATAGATGATGAGGACAATTTCTGCAATCCAGAGATTTTAAAGCAGATTATTAGATCAAAAACTGTATTTGACAAATTAGACAAGGTAGAAATGCGGAAAGCAAGAACTCGATCTAATCCTTATGAAACAATTCGTACTGTTAACTTTTTGAACCGTGCTGCTGTCAAGATGGCGAATATAGACAGAGCTTGCAATTTTATGTTTACTGATCCGAAGAATTTAAATTCCAATGAATTGTTATACTTTGCTGACGTATGTGCTGGACCAGGTGGTTTCAGCGAATATGTCCTGTCTAGAAAAGGATGGCGTGCTAAAGGATTTGGATTTACATTGAAAAATGAGAATGATTTTACATTAGATGAATTTTTCGCCGGTCCATGTGAAACTTTTCACCCGTTTTATGGTTCTAAAGGCAATGGAGATGTATTTGATGCACAAAATCAAGAGGAATTTAAATCATTAATAATGAAGCATACTAATGGTAAAGGCGTACATTTTATGATGTCGGATGGAGGCTTTTCAGTAGAAGGCCAGGAAAACATCCAAGAAATTTTATCTAAACAATTATATTTATGTCAGTGTTTGGTGGCCTTGATGATAGTAAGACCAGGAGGTCATTTTGTAACAAAATTATTTGATTTGTTTACACCATTTAGTGCTGGTCTAATTTACTTAATGCGTAAATGTTTTGATACAATTTCTATTTTTAAACCCAACACTTCGAGACCGGCCAATTCAGAACGTTATTTGATATGTAAAAAGAAAAAAGCCGATACTCAGAATATTGCAGATTATCTTTCTCATATTAATTATTTACTTTCACTGAGAATTGATACCAATGATGTACTTGAATTGGTACCGCTTTCAATATTAGAAGCCGATGTAGAATTTATAAAATATTTGAAAACTTCCAATGATAATCTCGGGAAGAAGCAGATAACGAATCTCTTAAAAATTGCTGCATTTTGTGAAGACCCTACTTTAACAGAATCAAAACAAGCAGATATGCGTAAGGAATGCCTAAAATATTGGAATTTACAAGACAAAAGTAGGATAAGACCACAAATACCGAAGCCACAAGACAAAGTACGCGAGATATTGCGTGATTCTGTATCAATTTTAAGAAGCGAGGCAACCAAATTAAAGAGCGATAATGCACGAAATACAGTACTCAATCAACCATATGATTGGTATTGCATGCCCTGTGGTTCTGGAGCATGTATAGAAGAAGAAAAGATAGCAACATTTTATTTAGGTTTGGGACGCAGAAAAGTATACAGATTTTCCAGAAATAAATGGGAATCTGTTGGAGACATTAAAATAGAATTACCAGCCAATACATTAGTATATGCCGAATTAGTATATGAAACCAAATGGACTGGAAAATATTTTTCAAAAACTCGAGCATTACACATTTTAGACGCTTATATGCTTGGTGGAGAAGATGTAAGCAAATATTATTTGTCTACAAGGTAAGCTTTTCTTTTGTGTTGTCAAGTAATATATTTTAAAATATCATGTATACTCTATACCATGTATATTAATGTTATGTATACTCTAAATTGTTAATATATTATTTATTCATATATTTCTATTGTTTAGAAATAAGTAATTTAATTGAACCTAGATCAAATTAAAACAAATATAGTTTTATAATTGTATACATGTATACATATACACACACGCGCGCGCGCGTTATAAAACGTGTGTGTATTATAAAACATGTGTGTGTAAAGTATACATATAATATTGCAAAGTCTGTATTGATCTTGCTCTAAATTAAATTATAGCAAATATGAGTGTTTATTTAAAGATATAAATATATATTTTCGTGTAAATTAATTTAACTTAAATATATAATTCTTAACAAAATATTGATTATGAATAATTATTATGAATTAATTATATTACATGTAACTATTTTAATGTTTGATATATGTTTTAGATATAAACTCACCAAAATGTTTTGTGACGCGCTATGGAAGCCTAGTCCTAACGATTATATTTGCATTCGAGCCAAGGAGCGGTTTCTGCTAACACCAGATATAGAGAAAAAGTTGCGCGTTACACCACACCGCGTCAAATTGCCTAGCGCATTTGAATTTGCGAAAAACCCATTAGAATTTGACGGAGAGAACGATACAGCATACGTGTATTCAGCATTTAATAGCGTTCTTTTTATACGAAGTATCGCACAGCCATGGGCACGTCATATCAGCAAAAAGAGTCATGAATATTATGTTTATAACAGAGTTACTGGTAAGTCAGAATATGAAATTCGAGATGGAATGCCCAATAGACCGCATGAAGCCGAGGCTAATTTCGTTAAAGCGTTTGAAGAACGAGTTGTTTGGAATTGGCCTCAGGATACACAAGGTACATTAAATATGGCAAATTTCGTTCAAATGTTAGCTCCGTGGAAAATTACTTCATAGTCACTGTATATATTGCAATTTACATATGTATATATGTATATAATTTGTATTGAGGATATATTTTATTTAAAATAGAAAAATAGAGTATTAATATTCATGAATTCTTTTGCTGATATGACTATAATTTTTATTTAGTTCCTAAATATGTTTCAAATCTTTATGCCATTTATTTTCAAAATTCCTAATATTATAGAATATATTTACGAATTTTGCTAATATTGCTGATAATTTTATTTTTATTTAGTTTCTAAATATGTATTTAAATCTCTATAATTTAATTTCAAATTCTATAGAATAGCAAATTAAGATTAAATAAAAATTATTTAAAAGACTGTACTACTAGAATTTTATTTTATGTATATCATTTTTGCTATAGTTTGTAATATATATATATATAAAATGTACATAATCTTTGTATATTAAATATATAAATACTTAATATATATACTGTACATACTGACATAAAAATATGAATAAATTTTGAGATATAGAAAACCATATGCTTCAGTCTACCATAAATTATTTTATCACAGATTAAACCATAGTTTTCTATATGTCGAAATTTAATTTTTTTATTTGTAATTCCATATGTTTCTTATACTTTATTCTTTTCATTATATTCTTAAACTGCAATGAAAAAGATCTATTAGAGAAAACCACTTTAAAAAAAACGCATTTAATAATATCTCATGGGTGATATAAAGAACCATTAGCATAATTGTTAAAATAATTATACATAATTACACATACACATATATATATATATATATATATATATATATATATATATATATATATATATACT